TCGTTATAATGAACTTTCGATAATATGACCCTTTTGGTCCAGCCCGACGGCTTCATCTTATCGAGAGTGACTGTGTACTAAAAACAAAGGCATTACTTGTCCCAAGCCAATATGGTGGTATATTAAGGTGCAAAATCGTAAAGCTACTAGTAACTAACTGGCTGAAATCCCTTGAATCCAAGTCTCATGGATCACAAATTGCGTCCATCATTAAAATCATAACTATGTATGATTCGATACTTTTAAAACTATCAGAATTTTTTTATATTGCAACATTACATGCAAAGCAGATGGAGGTGCAATAAAGAGCTTGGATAAATAAATAGCCTGGGTTAGGAAATGTGGGTATCGGAATTTTGGGCGGTTTGTTCGTTATAATATTGAAACATTGTCAAATATAGTGACACAGTCAAACGAATCACATGGATCTGGGTCTCAATATAATTTAATGTACTTAGATTATGAATGCTCCAATACATCCACAAGACTCCTATTTTCCATAATAAAATCAAAATACTCAATTACAAAACTAATACAAGTTGGGAATACCAAAAATCTAATCCTATCATGATTACGAATGATATTTAACATTCTATGCATGTATTAGATAGTCAATAATATAATGAATAGGGCAAACAATAAAATTTCGTCAAATCATCGCCTCAAAAGTACGGATTCACGGCTAGAACTTTAATGACAGGTGGACTTTTCTTGCGGTCTGTCATCATCACAACCTGCACATAGTACAGCTCCCTAATCACTTGAGAATTGGGAACAGCAGGATCTGCTATATGTGTTATCTTAGGCGGTTGAGGAACTTTAGGAATAGATGTAACATTTCTTTTCGGTAACGATTCATTAGTCACTGCAACCGGACTAATCGTTTCTACAATTGCTATTTCGGTGAGAGGTGATGTTGATGATTCAGGAACAACCGCACCCTTATCGGTAGAATGCGTTGGATTATCTTCAGCAGGAACTCCCTCATCCTCCGTCTCGTCTTCGCCAACATCTGAAGCATTGTCAAATAATCTATGCTCATCTTCAATGGGAAGGCTCGTAACGTCCATTAATTCATAATGGTAATCATCGTTATCCAGCAAAGCTTCCTCATCAACGTCTAGAACATCCTCTTCTTCATGGGAGCCATCGTCTGGTATCGGCTCAAGTGAATTTGCACCGGGTTTCCATTGCAAGATCAATTCGCCTGACTCTTCTTTATAAACGAATTTCTCCAACGGTAATTGGTCCAAATGGACACGCTTTTCAATACCAAAGGCCGGGATGAAGACATCGAACGCATGATCTTTAACACCAATCACAATTGCTTCGCGAATAACCGGGCCAGTCCGCTCAGCCATACTTTGAAAAAGAACACAGAGAAACAAATGATTGCTTTGCTCCGTTGCATTCCTTGCTGCATCCTTCTTTACATTACAATGGTTTGCCGTCTTTTGAACGGTATCTTTATCGAGGTAAAAGCGCTTTTCTATAAAACAACCGCAGAATAATGTTTCTCAAAATTTGTCCTAAAGTTTTTTTACTCTTACAGAACAAGTAACAGCAGTAAAAAAAAAAAAAGAGCTGATTGACAACTTACCGCCAGCTAGAGCAGCTTCCAACATCCGGTGAACAATGACATCAGCGTATCGTCGGATGGGCGATGTAAAATGAGTATAAAGAGGAACGTTGAGAGCGTAATGGTGATATTTGGCGATATCCAAGGTGCCAGTGCAAAAATATTTGGCTTTTTGCATGGGTTTAATGGCTAGAAGTTTTAAGACCTATCAAAAACAAACATAAATTGTAAATAGACTAGTTGAGATAAATGGAACGCAAAATACTGTCCTTATAATATATTTATAAAATGTGCGTTGTACCTGTTTCACATCACAGTCCTCGATAGCATCAAAAGATCTTTGTATAGCTCCAGCAGAATGACAATCAAACTCGTAGCCCAACGCAAAAGCATGTGCAGCAAATTCGTCCTGTCCGAATAAGAATTTAGACTTAATGTTATAAGTAAAATACTGCTGATGCTGTTAACTTCTACTTACGAGTTTGCGGTCAATAGGAGCAGCATGACGTCTTAATAGTGCTTGTTCAGGAAAAGCGCTTGAAATCTTCTGGGCAACACTCATATTTGCCTGTAACATAAACTCTTCGATCAGACGATTGGCATCCTTACTTTCCTTCACATGACATCCAATTGGATAGTTTTGCTCATCTATATCAAAGGTAAGTTCTATCGAGTCTAAGGTTAACGCTCCCCTCTTAAAACGATTCTCACGAAGACGTTGAGATAGCTCCTGTTCGAACCGGATATAGAAGCATATTAGATCGCGTTCGTCAATTGAGATTATAAATTACTATTAGGAAAATATCTTACATTAAAAATCCTAATATCAGCTTCGATTTCGTTGGTAACGTGATGATCGTTATACAATTTGACTGCAGGATTTAGGGGCTTTCCTTCAATAACGTCTTGAGCATCATCATAAGACAGCCTGGCGCAAGAACGGATTATCGTTCTCCCAAACCAAGTTTCCATTATTTTCCCTTCGGGATTCATCTTCCAAATAACTGAAAAAGTGAGCCTGCAAATAAACTGATGTTATTGACGCCAATTCCATTTGGAGACGTCACAAACTGATGTTTACCTGTTTTCACCTGGGTTCAAACTGCATATTTCTTCTGAAAGCAATAATGGTAACATGGGTACAGACTTCTGCACGAGATATACTGTAGTAGCTCTCTTGCGAGCATCACGATCAAGAGCAGTATTCGGTTTCACAAAATAGCTGACATCAGCAACATGTACCCCTATCTCATAATTGCCATCGGGTAGTCGAGTACAGGAAACAGCATCATCTAAATCTTTGGAAGTTGGTGGATCAATAGTAAATATTCTTCTGTCACGTAAATCGCGACGAGTTTCTATTTCCTTCTCGGAAATTTGCCAAGGCATCGTTGGTAGGCATTTGAGAACGTTTTCATTGAAATCTTCAGATATCACATTATTATCTTTAAGTAATGCATCGGTTTCGACATTGATATCGCCGATATCTCCAAGTTGAGTAACTAAAGTACCAAATGGATGCAGTGAAGTAATAGGCCAACGTTTGATGCACGCCTAGGGTGAAGACATTATTAAATGAGACTTCCATAATTTGAGTGATGTATATTGACAATCATACTTACAACAAATAATTTATTGGCATAAGACTGATGATTCTCAACAAAACCTTCAGGAGCTTGTTCAGTAGGAATCGCAATCAGCGGAACACGCTTGTCAGTCTAAATGATAGTGCGATTATTGTGATCATTAGTTATTCTGCAAGATAAGAAATTACTTGTAAACGTTGTTCTGATCATGCTTGACAGCTGAACGACTATGCAACTTCTCGACCAGATCAATAGTATTGATCACGCCAATTGAAAACATAATAGCCAACTAGGAAACGTGTTGTTATCGCCAAATACATACCGGTTTAAACCAAACAATCTTTGGTCGCTCAGTCCTCTCGTCTTTCCTATCGTCTTTTGACACCTCTCTTGGTTCAATACCAGCAGCTCTATCTTCAGCTTCACGCCGAGCCTTTTCTGCTGCCTCTCTTTCCTTGGTCGCCGTAGAGGATGGTCGAAGCAAAGCTAGAGTGCTATTAAACAAAAGCCGCAATAGGTGGAATTAATTTCAAACAATTGTTAATCTATATGACAGTCAAAATTCACTTCTGTAGGAGCGATGAAGCATAGTTGTGGAAGTCAGATCCCTAAAAACGTTAATTACCTACCCAGAGAAAAGCTGACCAGGCATGCGTTCCATAACAGCTACTATATGACCACAATATTTTGGTCTCTGTTCGTCACTAACTATATCATCATCGTCAAACAGCAATAAACCCTGTCCTTCTACTTCTACGTCATCCTTCTTCTTGTCAATTTTTTTTCTATCAATGCCAATACTTTCTTCCTTTTTCCTTTTCTTTTCTTCTTTTTCTTTCTTAGTTTGCCACACTTTTTCTGGATCCAATAATTCAACCGCTACGATATCCCCCTCTAAGGCGCGATTTCTATCCTTGGAACCACATATATAAATATCAGCATCTAAAGTCTCCGTGGTTACATACGCGTCGGAGCGATTTCTCTTATTGATACGCAGAACCCCTGATACAAGTTCGTTACTTTTCAGGAGTTGAGGTAGAGATGCTTGCGGGAGATAAGGTGCAAACAGCGATTTTCGTTGCTGTTGGTTATTGGCATTTTGCTGATTAGCTTGAACTTTCTTCGGTCCGGTGGCATATTTAGAATAATTAAATGGGAGAAGAGGAGAAGCTGATTGCGATAGGAAATCACATCAGTTAAAATATACATTATATAAACAATTGATAGAAGCTAAATGCACGTTCCGTGTGGTTTTCACGCGTTAAATATTAGATTTTCTGGACGTTCATTGAACGTCCAAATAGCACCGACTATAATACCACATAGAAACATACAGCTAAACTAAACGTATAAGCTTACCGGTTCTCCAATTACCATCAACATTTCTGGATCCAGTACGGCGATGACCGTTCTTATTATCTGCACCGGATTTACCTTGGCTTTTCTCCAATTCTTTCAAAACATCCTTGCTGCCATTAAGAGCGACGCTATGCCTTCGATGATGTGACTGAACTGCCGCTTTGAGAGCTACGGGTACGGCTCCTGAAACCGAAGTCGGCGCAGCTGGAGTCAAACTGAAGCCGAGAGATTGATAACGGCGATGAGCCTTTTTGCTGCTGCCTTGCGACTGATCATTAGTTAGCCGTTTCCAATCAAATGGAGGTTTTGCCACTTCTTGTTCCAACTTTCTTTCGGAAGGCGGAACCTCATCTAAAATTGAGATTTACGATTATTCGAGTTTTTTGCCCTCCCGCCATGTCTCCGAATCGAAAAGCTCACCATTCTCTGTTTCCTTTCCCTTACTTTCTGTGTTCTTATTCTGAGCCTTACCCTTGTCGTGGCTCATACGTCTCAGAGAGGAAAGCGTATCTTGTAAAGATTTCTCAATGTCTATGGGTTTGCCATCTTCAGAGTCTGGAATAGACTTCAAAGAACCGCTTGCAGAACCACTTGCGGGGAAATAGAATGAAACAGACGCGTTTTTCTTGTGTTTATTTCCCACAGGATTAGGACGTTTACTAGTATTACTGGCGCTCGATTCATGTCTTCTATGTTTTGAAGGCACGTCGACTGGATTCTCTTCAGTCTTTTGTGACTTGGGTGGCGCAGGCATGGATTTTATACTAGCAATCATTTGTCGAAGAGATTCAAGCGCTCCGGAGGTGTTTTCCGAATCATCCTTACTGTCTTTGGTTTTTACAGCAGTCGCCCTGGATGTACCTTGAAATTCGCCAAAAGTGGCTAATGACCTTCCACGACGATGAAAGTTTGACTTGTCAGTAGCAATATTACCAAGATTCAAATTTTTATTTTTATTTGATAATTCACCCGGAATGGCAGTAGATTTACGGCGTTGATGCTGACTATTAGTTTGTTTGTTCTCATTATTATCTTCAGCATCTTTATTCTGTTTCTTCTTGTCTTTCCTCTTCTTTTCGTCGCCGTTGTCGTTACCACCGGCGTCATCAGTAAGACTACCAGCCGACTTGCTTCCTTTGCCATCGACAATTGGCTGAGATTTATAACTTTGCCTATTTGGTTTTTTGTTACGGTTTAATTGGTCTTCTTGAGATGAAGCCGAGACAGTCGTTGAGACAGCCTCGGAGGAATAAGGAAACACGGAAGGCGCCTTGTTCGCAATGATATCGGGCTGAGCAGTCTCGTCGGCCATAGTGAAAGACTTTGCTTCCTCTAAACTGTAACCGTTAATAAATATATGTCGAAGTGTCACACAGTCGAGAGTCGTTTAGGAGTATCGTATTTTATAAGACAGGACAGTTAAATACTTTGCTTGACATAGCTTGATGGGTAAACCCAGGAAGGAGCGGGATGTGCTTATTAACAACAGTTGGTATATGAAGTCACAGCACAAGGAATGGAACGAACGAAGCGAGAGTGAACCGAGATGAAAAAGTAAAGGAACGTAGATGTTGAAGAACAGTTAGGGGAGGTAGCAGTCAAAAAGTTCGTCAAGCGTCACACGAATTTGCCATATAAAGGAAATTGTTCAGGCGCACAACAATAGCAGATGATTTTGATGTAAATGTCGCGAGATTCCTGTTCAAAATGACGACAAATTCTCAGTTTTATTGGGTGCATGTAGCCGCTAACGTCTCTCTTCCGAGCAGATCCATGGACAATGTCATTTCTAGGTGTACGAAAATAATATAATTACATTGAAGCATCCCGCTTATATATTTGGTAATACGTACACTCCCTGGACAAAAGTATCCGATGGGAGTTTTTTCGATTTTATGCAAAATCCAGTATAATAATTACACAA